TGTATAGCAGTTACTTAGACACAGTCCCTGCCCTCATGGAGCAGTGCTTGTGGTGAGGAAACACACTATAAATCCGTAGCAAGAAAGTAAATGTTTCAGTACAACTGATGACATATGTTATGGTGAGGGTGAACAGAATGCAGGGAGAGGTAGAGAGTTGTAAGGTGATCCCCACAGAAGGAACAATATGTGTAGAGGTACTGAGGTGCAAAAAAGTTTGGCATGTGGTGGATGTTGAGAGACTGAGCGCAAACCAGTGTGCTGGAGCGTAGTGGGAAAGAGGCCTGCGTAAAATGAGGCGAGAGGACCGCGTCATGCAGGGCTTTGTAGGAGGTAGATGGATTTGGATTTTGAATCTGTGCAAAGACTGTTGTAATTGTTTTGAACATCTGACATGTGATTTTCAGTCTGAGAGCATTTGGATGAATAGGGTCTGTGGTCTGGCAAATGCTAGATGCTTCTTAAAGCAAGAGTAGAATTATATTAGATCCATTGTTTCCCCCATGAGAACACAATTTCATATTGTCATATATGATTATGTGAAGATAGATTTTGATATTCAAATTTTCAGGTAACATTTCATTTAATAATATATAATAAATTCGAAAATGAAGCAAACGCAAGGTATTTTCAGTTGAAAAGAAGGCAGCATGATTGTACAGCTTCTTGTTCTCTCATAGACTGTTGAGGGGATTTTTTGCATGTGCTTGTGTATTTTCTTATGAGTGAGTCACTATTCTTTGTTCCAAAATATCTTTAGAATGTTTGTATAGTGAACAGCTTTGAAAGGCAGAAATAGTGTCTTCCTCTATAGCAAATGACAGATGAAACTCACGGTTTCTCTCCTGAAATGAGACCCACTGCTCGGCCATCTGAACATGCAGGTACGATGCCAGTCAGGTGATACCCTAGTGCTTTGCAGCCAGCAAGCTATCATATTAGCATATTTTGTCACTGCTTTTCTTTTCCAAAGTCGCAGGATGAGCTATTCTCAGATAATCACATCTCAACTGTGACTTCTATTCTAAAATACATGTGTGAAACCTACTAGCTACTAATTATTCTGGTTAAAATAATTTTAACCGAGTGGGAAAAATTTCAACAACAGAAAGAATGCTATATTGAAATTTTAGGGTCAAATCATAAAATACATTAAAATGATACTTTAATTTCAGATAAAAATTTTATATATATGTGTATGCCTGAAAATATAACCGAAGCATTTTTCCATGAAAGATTATTGTATGATAAGCACTAAAGGACTAACATTAAGGTTTCTAATGTTCACAGAACCATTATTATTACAGATGGGATCAGCTTGGGCTTGGGCTCTAACCCTCTCCTGATCAAGGATTTGAGGAGCAATGTGATCAAACACTGCTGTTGCTACCATGAGGGATCATTGCTCTGACAGCTGGAGGAGATAGATGTTCTATATTTGCACTGTTTAATACAGCAGCTGCTAGCCACATGTGGTTACTAAGCACTTGAAATTTTGGTTAGTCCAAATTGAGATGGGTATAAATGCAAATTGTACACTAGATTTCAGACTTAGGGCATAAAAAGAAAGTAAATATCTCATTAATAATTTTTAAAATTAATTATATTTGAAATAGTATTTCAGAAGTATTAGGGTAAATAAAATATATTGTTAAAACTAATTTCGCCTGTTTACTTTTACTTCTTCAGTGTGTCTTTACAAATCTTAAATTATATATGTAGCTCTCCTTATATTTCTGCTGAACAATGCTGTTACAGATCCTTGCTACACACAGGGCAGTCCTCAGGCCAGCATCATCAGCATCATTTGGAAACTTGTTAGAGACAAAGAAGCTCATGCCCCATCCCAGATCTACTAAATCAGAATTCTCATTTTAGCAAATCCTCATGTGATTTGTATACACGGTAAAATTTGAGTAGCAGAGAGTCCCTAAGACTAGGATTGCCAGATTCAGCAAATAAAAATACAAGTTGTCCAGTTAAATTTGGATGCAGATAAACAACAAATGATTATATAGTATAACATGCTCCAAATATTGCATGAGGCATATTTATTATTAAATTTTTCGTTGTTTATTAGAAATTCAAATTTAACTGAGTGTTCTGTATTTTATTTGGCAATCCTGCTTAAGACTGAACTCCTTTCGACTTGTCTTGCTACTTGAAATTCACAGAATTAGGAAAAGGACAGAAAACAAAAAGGAAAGGTGAAGGGTAGAAGTCAGGTGAAATGAAAGAACAGAAAAGAAAAGGAAATAAGATAGGAAGTGAGAATGAGATGGGACGTGGAAAGCCACACTGATGGCAATGAACTTTTTATTTTATAATTTTTATTAGTAACTTTTTTATTTCTGCATTTTCCCAGGTCCCTCAGTTATTTCCTTTAATCTCCCCTTTTCATTTATTATAGGGCTCCCAAGAGTCATGTTAGAAGATGGTGTGTGTGTGTGTGCATACGTGTGTGTGTGTAAAGTGGGTAGTGAGGAAGGGAAGTGTCTCCTCAGGGTCAAGTCCTCAGCCTTTCTGTAATTCATCATCTGTGAAATGTCACTTATAAATATTACCTTTCAGCTACCTGTACTTTGCCTTTAAAGAGATCGAGGTTCTTAAGTGCCAAAAAAACACTGACACTCATTTTGGAGGATTATCTTTATTGTGGCATTTTAATCGTATTTTTTGTGTAAAACAACTTTTAGGGATTTTGTCGTTGTTTGTTTTGTGTTTTTTTCCATGCTTTTTAGGTGAGGGGTAGTGGGATTAGAGGCTGGCAAGGAAGGAATAACAATAGATGTTCTTTATTTAGCCATGCATTGAAGTAAGAAAAAGGCATTCATCTCTGACATTTATTTAAAATTTTATTTTATTATGGTAAGAACAATTAACATGAGATCCATCCTCTTAACAAAATTTGAAGTCTTCAAAAAAGTATTGTTGACTATAGGTACAATCTTGTATACCAGATCTGTAAAATTTATTAATCTTGCTTCACTGAAAATTTATGGCTGTTGATTAGCAACTTCCCGTTTGTTCCTTCTCCCCAACTCCTGGCAATCACCATTCCACTCTGTGATTCTATGGATTTGCTTATTTTAGATACTTCATATAAATAGAATCATATAGTATTTGTGACTGGTGTTTTTCACTTAGCATAATATCCTCAAGATTCATCCATGTTGTCAGATACTGCAGAATTCTACCCCTCCCTGCTTTTTAAGGCTATTATTTCAGCGTATGTATATATCACATATTCTTTGTTCATTTCATTTATCAACAGACCCTAAGGTGGTTTCTACATCTTGGCTATTGTATAGTACTGCAATGGACATGGGGGTGCTAATATCTCTTTGAGATCTTGATTTCAATTCTTTTGGATTACTACTTGTAAGTGTAATTGCTGGATCATAGGGTAGTTTGATTTTGAATTTTTTGAAGAATCTCCACATTGTTTTTATTTCATTTTCAACTGCATCATTTTGTATTCTCACCAACAGTGTCTAAGAGTTCCAATTTCTTTATATCCTTGCCAACACTTGTCTTTTGTTTTATTGATAATAGCTGTCTTAATAGGTGTGAGGTGATATCCCTCTGTGGTTTTGATTTGCATTTTCCAATGATTAGTGACATCGGGCACCTTTTCATATACACGTTGGCCATTTTGTATGTCTTCTTTGGATAAATGTGTATTCAAGTCTAGCCTATTTTTAAATTGGGCTGTTTGTTTTTTACTGTTGATTTGTAGGAGTTCCTTATATATTTTGGAAATTAATTCTTTATCAGACATTTTCCAATATAACCATTTTGAAAATATTTTCTACTATTCTGTAGGTTGACTTTTCACTCTGTTGATTCTTTGCTGTGCAGAACTTTTTAGTTTGATATAGTCTCAGTATCTATTTTTGCTTTAATTGCCTGTGCTTTGGAGTCATATCCATGAAATTATTACGAAATTATTCTAGACCAATGTCATGAAGTTTTTCTCCTATGCTCTCCTCTAGATTTTAAGTGTTTAATCTATTTTGAGCTGATTTTTATGTATAGTGTAAGATAAGGGTCCAATATCATTTTTTTTTGCATATGGATATCCAGTTTTTCCAGCACCATTTGTTGAAGAGGCTATCCTTTCTCCATTATGTGTTCTTTATATGGCACCTTTGTTGAAGATCAGTTAACTATATATGTGTGCATTTATTCCTAGGCTCTCTATTCTATTCTATTGGACTACGTCTGTCTTTATGCCAGTACTGTACTGTTTTAATTATTCTAGCTTTGTAATGTATTTTGAAATGTCTCCAACTTTGTTCTTCTTTCTCAAGATAGATTTGGCTATCCAGGGCCTCATTTAATCTTTGCAACAATTCTTTGAGTTAAGTACTTTGTCACCACTCTGCAGATGAGTAAACTACACTCAGGAGGAAAAGCAGCTTGCCTAATATACGGTAGCTAGTCACGGTAGCTAGTCACAGCTGGAGCCGGGAATGCATTTGAATGCTGTCTTTCTCCAAAGCCAGTGCTCTTTACTATTACTTACACTTCTTATCAAACAGGGAACTAGGAAACTAGGAAACTGTGAACTAGGACACATATGTAAAATTAGGCAAGTTTCAGGATTTTTACTCATTTATTCACCTGAAAAATATATGTAATAATGTATACTTCTTGGATTTTTTAGGAAGAGAATTTAACAGCTTCCTGAAAAACAACATAAGATTCTTAAGAGTTAGAGTTCAGAATAATGACAATTTCTGAAAAGAGCTTAATTGGCAGATTTTCTGTAAAAAATCTGCTCCTTAATGATCTCGCATTGAGATGAGAAATCAAACCTAAGCAGACCCATTGGTTTCACTCTATACTCTAAATTAAGTAGTTTTAAGCCCCTCCCTCAACCTTCCCCCGAACAGTGTACATCCTAGGAAAGCTGCCTTTTTATTGGTTAAATATGTTGTCAGTCACATGGCATGAAAAGTACTGCCTCTGCTCTGTTTGCATTTATGAATTAACAGATGTGCTTGGTTTGAAGAAACGGATTCATTTCTTGATGGGAAGAAAAATCTTGTTTAGCTTTTCACTTATTTTTTTATGTATGGGATTTTCATTAACTTTGGACCAGATACTTGCCAGGAAGAATGTAAGGTGAGTAATTGCGTATCTTTTAATGTAGTGCATCTGTGAACTTCAGTGCAAGTGTGAAATTCTGTGGTTCTGTAATTTCTTTATATTGTTGCATAACAACATTTGTTTATAATTCAAAATGGATATACTAGATTAGATCATTCAGTAGTTACTAAAGTCATTGAACTAGAGTTTATAAATAAGAGATAAAAAAATAATCTTTGTTATTAGAGGGAAGAGTTATTTGTTCAAAATACCCAAGAAACATTTGTATTATGTACCAAAATATGTATCTGTGAGAAAATGATTCAAATCAGTGTTCAGGTTTCTTTTGTACTTAAATGTTCATTTCACAGTTTCTCCTGCCATTATTATGTGAGAAAAGAGTAAGAAAAAATTTTAAAACCTCAGAAAGATATAACCTGTTCTCTGAAGAAAAGGTGTTAAATCATTTTAACTGTCAGGAAACGGTAATTCTGTGGAGTGCATACTATTTAAAATTAACAAGCAAAGTTTCTATTTTTGTTTTCTTTGTCCTTTGGCTTCATTCCATACCATATAAGGGAATATATAGAGATTTATCAATAAGGAGTAATATTTAGAATCTGAATAGCAATTAACTTATGTCATAGCTCCTAATTACTCATTATGTGCTGTCTCGACAAATGCATCAGGGAATTTAGTGTGATGGTGGCAAGCAGGATGGTCTACCAAAACTTGTGTTAAAGAATACTTAAGTTACCAGGTAATAAAAACTATAAGCACAGGCATTTTTTATTTGTTTTCCCTTATTGTTTCCAAATCAATTAGTGTTTTCTTTCAGGTTCAATTTCTAATAATAAATGACTTATATTTCTTAGTTGATTAAAGCTTAGTGATGTTTCCTCACGTGGTTTATACAGAGTGACTGATTTGTATATTATTATACTGGCTAAATGTACACTAAACCATAAAAATCCCATTTCTCTTTTTGAAGCAAAATTAATGGGTTTAAATAATCTTAACTTCGGAAAGGACCCTAGAAATCACATAAACCATCGATCATTTGAATATAATAATATGGCATATTAATTCATTATGAAGGAAACAACAGTTGCTGTTTGTTTATGTTCTTTCAAATCATGGATCTGAAATTTAAAAAAATCTTTCAACTCTGTGGGTCAATTCAAAATTCTTAAAGATGAGTGTATTATAAGCTTGATACATGTTTCCTAAGCTTAGAGAGAGTAGGGGTCACCACTCTTCCTTTAAGTATTCCTTCCTCAGTTTGAGTTTGTACTTAAACAAAAAGGAAATCTTTTTCCTCTCATCTAGCATCCTGTGTGATCTCTCATTTCCACCTCCCTTTAAGTTTGTTCATTAGTTTGTTAGTTCATTTATGGATGTAGCACATACGTTTTTAATACCTGGTACATTTAAATAGCTGGGCACTTTGCTATTTGCTGGATCCACAATAGTGAGCAAAACAGATACAGTCCCCGCCTTCATGGAGCTTTAAGTCTAGTTGGGGAGAGCTCATTAGGGAACGATATTGTTACAAATAAACTGTGAAACATGCTATGAAAGAAAGTATGGGAGGCTGTGAGCACACATAATAGGGGGATCTGAACTAGTTTGAGTAGTTAGGGACAGCGTTCCTGAGGAGGTGATATTTGATCTGTCATCTGGAGGATATGGAGAAAAAAACTAGGAGGCAGGGGTGAAGAGAGGATGGAGAACATTTCAGGAGGAGGGAACAGCGGGAGCTAAATAAAACTGAGGAGAGAAGAAGAGAACATAAAGCATTCAGGGAACTGAACTAAGGAATGCTAGTGTAGCTGGAGCAGAAAGGGGAAGAGGTGAAATGAGCTGAGCACAGCTAGCAGGCTGAGGTCTTTTAAGGGCCTTGTAGGCCATGGTGGGAATGTGATCTTCCAATGATGGAGCTGCTTTACCTTCACATTCACGAAGGCATACCTGGGAGACTCATGATGGAACACCAGCCACTATAAGCCTAGGGCTTTAGATTACTTTTCAGGTATTGCAGAGATCCCTTTTACTGGAAAAGGATCTGAATATTTCAGTGACAGTGTAGGTTTAATTATGTTTAAGCCCATGTTTCTCAGTTAGTTCACACAGATAGTTTTAACCAGATAACTTTTTTAGTTCCTACTTTAGTCTGGAGATTATGTAGTGATGCAAAAATGCATATACATTTTATTTTTGGTTGAGCTTATAGCTTCCTATAAAACCTTATTCAGGCTTATGGGTGTGGGCAAGGCCTGTTTAAGTTAGAGTTTATTTGAAAAAGTATAGCAGCACTATTGTATGTTCATAACAATAGAGTCATTGAAATGAAAATACCCTGTGTTGTCTACTAAAAGTTTCTCATTAGTAAACACATGGAAATTTTTAATTAGTGGAGCAAGTCTCAAGCTAAGCATATTAACGATATGGTAGTTTATTCATTCATTCATTCATTTAGATATTTTTATTCAATAAACATTTATTAAACTCTTTTACTAGATATTTCCAAATGACTTGATAAATTTTTATCTTATTTAGGTAAAATATATCTTATAATTTTCTTTTTCATTCATTAAGACATTTTAAAGTTGAATACTTAATTCTGTATCATGAAATATGATTTTTGAATAAAATTCAAATCAAAGAAATTTTAAAAATCTATTTGTGGATGGTGATATTAGAAAGCTTGAGGCTTCTCGAGAAGTATCATCTGGGCATTAGTATGTCTTTCACATGTTCAGTTACTTTTTAACTTGCACTACAGACTTTGAAGTTTAGGTAGGTAGAACTCTTTTGGCTAAAGCATATCTCTGTTATACTTATATGATTACTTTGATCGGGGCTTCACTTTTGCTGCTCGGGAAATTAAATTTCTTAGTACTCCTAGATGTGATTGGGCTCTGAGGACTAATTCATGCTCATCCTACTCACAAGAGACTTAGTATAAATCTGAATGCTAATTTATAAAATTTTAAAGGAAAGCATCTTTTAAAAAGAATAAATTAGAAAAATGTATCAAAGTAATGCATGTACATGGTTTTAAAAAATCAAATGGTACTAAGACACATAATACATTATAGAAAAAATTGTCTCCTGTTTAGTCATCTTTTCTCTAGTAACAAACAACTTTAATATTCCAGAATCTGATGACCTCAAATATTTATTTCTCAAACATTACATGTTGACAGCTACAGGTAGACTGCTATTCAAGTCCTGCTTCAGCTCTGTGCCCCATGTCTTCTATTCCAAGACCAATACTGAAAGAACTGTTTGGGCATGCCATTATCTTAATAGAGAGAGGCAAGAAGTGGCAGACATATGCAGCTCCTCTTAAAGTTTCTGCAGAACTGGCACTCTGTTGCTTTCACTCATATTCCATTGGCCCAACCAAGACACATAGCCAAGTGTGATGATGGGGCAGGAAATATTCTTCACCTATAGGAAGGTGCTGAAAGGTTTATGGCCAGGGGTGAGGTATATACATCTCTGGGATTATTTCCAGGAGGTTGGGAACAATCATACAGTCCCCCACAACTGCCATAATATTTAAATAATATGCACAGGTGATTTAAATAATATACATAGATGATTACTCAATTTATACATTTTAGACAGTATCTAACAACTTCCTTTTATTATCGACAAAGTTTCTGTCTCTAACACTGCCATCACCTTTCTTTCCTTCATGCCCCTCACCATAGTTATAGTACTACTTTTAGTTAAATCTGTGCTTGCATCATTGTGACTATGCATATATTGTTCACTGATAAGCCAGTAAGTATACTATAATTGTTTCTTTTTTAATACAGCTCTTTATTCATAAATTAAAAATTACTGTTTTTCACTTGAAATATTTAAAATATGCACATTCTGTATTCTTTTCACAAGTCCCCTTATCTAATATGTAATGTAGTCTCTCAAATCCTCTTTTTACCTAGAGATCTCTCTCTAGTTCTTTAGATCCTTTTTTTTTCTCTTGCTCCAGTCTGGATTGATTCCTCTCTAGGTCTGATATGCAGTATTCATCCTTGTCTTTTTTTTTTTTTTTTCCCAACCACTCTTCTGAGTTACAGCCACTGTTTATTAGAGCCTATACTTTCCTCTTTCTTGGTTTTCTCCCTTACTTTCCTGGAGCACATCCTCCATTAGCTTCC